GGCGGTTCTTCCCGACACATCTGAGTTCATTCTGGAAGGACGCACAGAGCAAAGATCCTCTCAGCCACAACACCACGACCACAGCCACAGCCACAGCCATCTCTTGCTCCCAGCCACGCGTGCACAGCAGCCAGTACCCAGCATTCCCGAGCAAAACTAGACAGGAGACTGTCTCCTTGACAAAAGCGGCCCAGTCCCTGCCATGAGGGCCACCTCGATCCCTACGGACTAGCACAGGGAGTGGCCGGAGCCCCAGTTAGCCACTTGCTGTGTGTAGAGCCTCCTGCAGGAGGGTTAGGGCTGATGCAGAGACGACAGGACACCGAGGCACCATCCATCCAGTGCCAGAAAAGACCAGCCCAACTGGGCTGGAAATGAGACCCCGGGACCATGAAGCAAGGCAGCTTCTGCACCCCCTACCCCGGGAGAGAGAGAGACGTGTGGAGAGATGACACCCAGGTGACACTGGTTTAGGCACACTGGACAGGAGGGAACAAGCCCGCCCACATCCTGGGATCCATGTACACCCCTTCTCAGAGGTCCTGTGCTGGGAGGTGGGGAGGAAAGTGGGCAGACCCTAGCCGGTGCTGAGCGCTCAGGCAGGCTCCGAGCACCTTAGCCAATGAACCCACTTGCTGCAAAGAACACGGTTTGTGCCTGCCCTTCACCTCGGTCTGTCTGTGCTGCTGTACCTCAACACCTGAGACTGGGTGATATATAACAAACAGGGGGGACCAGGAGATGGCATAATGGTTATGTCACTAGATTCTCATGGAATCGACTGCAGTTCGAGTCCCAGACATGGCAACATAAAATTCATGCCAGGTGTGTGAGTGTGTGCCCAAGATTCTGAGAGGAGATTAGAGAAAGGATTGTAGCGTGGCCATCCCCCGGGAGGTGATTTCTCGCTGTCTCTCCAGCAAGTGCACACACCCTATAGCAAAAATCTGTCAAAAAACAAATAAACAAACAAAAACCCAAAATGGATTACCCGTTAATAGAAATTCACTGGCTTGTGTTTCTGGATGCTGGAAAGTCCCAGACCAGGAGGCAAGGGCCAGCTTGCTGCGTCATCCCATGGCAGGAGGGCAGTGAGAGGCAAGAGAGCGAGAAAAGAGGGCCGAGCTCGCCCTCGTGGGACTCAGTCTGTGGAAAGAGCACCAGTCCAGGCCTCAGGGCAGCACCCCTGTGACCACTCACCTTGCATTAGGCTTCCCTCCCAGCACCACCACGCCGTGGGGCGAGTTTCCAACACAGAAACTCCGGGGGACATGTCTAAGCCATTACCGCCTTCCTAAGGCTGCCAAGTCCAACTGGGGGAACAAGGCCTGAGCGAACACAAAGACGAAACCTCCGGCCCCTGCCTGCCCCTGCCTTCTTCACGCAGGTGAAGCCACCAGGGCTCAGCAGCCATGGGAATGCCAGGCCACCAAGAACCAGGATGAAGCAGATCCACTTTTGCTGAAGGGGACTAATGCCCATGACGTCGGCAAGTATGACACACCACATGCAAGACATCGGGGACTGCGTGTTCCCTTTGCGTGACACCAGCTGCATACAAACCCTGCCAGACAGACACTCAGCATGGGGTTAACAGGGCTTCTGGAGGGAAAGGGGGACTTTTCAGGGGAATTTTACTTGATTCTTAGAAATTTCTCCCATTTTCCACACTTCAAGATTTTTAACAAGTATAGGGCTGTTAATATAAAAGCCAAGCCACAAAACGACTGTATTTTCATTTTGAGGAAAAGCAAAGAAGGAACAGAGAAACAGGAAGGAAGCCAGCGCAGGGAGTGTCAGAAGAGATGGGCTCTCGGCCTGGCCAGAGCTTGCTGAGCCACAGCAGGTTTCCACAGCGGCACGGCAACTAAGAGGCCAAACAAACACTCGTGAGCCACTCTCCTTTCCTGTCGCCGCTCAGCCACCACGTGCCACGCTGGGAAAGATGTCGGGGTGGAGCAGAACCACCTCAGAATGAGGCTGGAGGCCCAGCGCACCTGCAGCCCAGAGCAGAGCAGGAGGGTCAGGGTCCGACAGCGGGTGTGGGGGTCCTCCTAGTAAAAGGGGCAGTCCTTTCCCAGAGCCCCAGGTCAGGAAATTCCAGGGGTGGCGCAAGCTGCAAGCACAGAAGCAGTGTGGGGTCTGCAATCCTCCCCGACAGTGCCTGTCCACCCACAGGACCACGTGGCTTCCACACCAGGTAGCTCCATATTCCTGGAAACAGTGGCTTTCCAGGGCTGGCAGGTGGCATGGCGTTTGGGGTGCTCGATTCCCACATGGTCAACCACGGTTCAAGTACCGGAATCAAACGACCACC